GTCATTCCACCCATTATTTTCAATTATGTCTTTATGAAAACAAAAACCCGAGATCATTGGGTAATTTTAATAATGAAATATTACAGAAAGCAAAAAGGATTGATTAAATGTAAAACATTTAGAAATTCAACCAATATACACATAATAACATAATGAGTAATTCAGTAAAAATCATTAGTAAATGTTATGGAAATCTTCTAAGTAGTTTAATGTAAAACATTCGATTTAATTGAAAAGAAAATACGATTGGTAAATTTAAGGAACGCCGCGCGCATTTTCTCCAGTTTAAATCATTTCTTGTGAATCGAGCGCTGGAGCAAGTTTTGACATGTATTTTCCATACAGAATTATTAGATCATTTCGTGCCACGATTCACTTATAAGTCTTCCTACAACCTCACAATCGTTTATCGATCTTCAATTCGATTTCCTACGATGTATAGATCTCGATTGCATAGAGATCCATTTACATGGGGCCTGACACATATCTCATAATCCACAGCTTCACATGAACATTATATACTGTAGCGTGATCGAGACACTCGTTTTACATAATGTATTTTCGACGTAGATCTCAATCCACATGAGTAGAGATGTACAGCACAGTCTCGGTCTCTACTATGGCTTCAATCCGAAACAGTTTGGTCAGACAGGTTTAAATCTCAATTCCATTCTTATATTTAAATTCCGCGGTTCTCATTAATATTAACAACCAGAAGGTCAGCTGTGTCATCGCTTTGTCTCCCTTACTTTAGGACAGTATGCGGACCGTGTCATACTGTGTTCATCAGTTGTTAAATCAAATGTAGTAATCTACACGCATGGGCCAGATTTCCACTAGCAAGGAAATTGCTCCACCACATTGTGGACTTAGATAAGATAAGATAAGATAAGATAAGATATGATTTAAAATTTAAAAGACTTGACGATGGCTCTTGGAGATTTAGAACCCTCAAATTCAACCCGGATCTTTGGCCCTAGATCTTCTTGACATTTTACTTCTGGCTTTCGATTTTGGCTTTGATTTGATTTGATTACTTCAACGGTTGTATTACCTGTAATAGCATAACCAAGTGATTCCTCTTTCTTTGAAGTAGAAAACAAGTTTAGCATAATTAAAATGAAGACATGTCATGTTAGAGCCAACAATCGGGAACTTGACCATCACTCATTGCAGAACTCTTGGATGTTACGAGTAGAACTCAAGCGTGCTACTAAACTTCGGACAAATTCCAACAACACTTTTTTCCCTTCAAATCTTTCTACCTCCAGTTCCGCTGCAATCTGTAGCTCTTCCGCAGCAAATGACCTGTACATTTGTTATATTAATCGAAGTGCAAATGACCTGACTGTTAAAAGTAAAGTAAAGTAAAATTTATGATATCACATCATCACACATGTCTACAAAATATCATCGCACTATGTGGAAAAATATATAATGGGGGGGGGGGGGGGTGTCACGTCCGTCTATGTCCGCTTGTCTCATAGAATCCAAAAAGGACAGGACATAGGCGGACATAGGCGGACATAGGCGGACATAGGCGGACATAGACGGACATAGACGGACATAGGCGGACATAGGCGGACATAGGCGGACATAGACGGACATAGGCGGACATAGGCGGACATTAATGGACACCTAAATTGCTAAATAAAATGTTCAATTTTTGCTGTTATAGGGGGATCATGTTTTTTGTCCGTTCGGTACCCTATATTTTCAAAACGGACAAAAATAGAACGGACAAAAACGGACAAAAATGGACAAAAACGGACAAAAATGGAAATAACATTTAGATGCTTCCTCCTCCTACTCTTCCTCCTCCTCCCCCTGGGTCTTCCTGATCTTCCTCAGTCCTCTTCCTCCTCCTACTCCTCCTCCTCGTCCTCAGTCCTCCTCATCAGTCCTCAACAGTCCTTCTCCTCCCCAGTCCTCCTCCTCCTCCTGAGTCCTCCTCCTGGGTCCTCCTCCTGGGTCCTCCTCCTCTTCATCCTCCTCCTCTTCCTCCTCAGTCCTCAGTCCTCCTCAGTCCTCCTCCTCATCCTTCTCCTCAGTCCTCCATCCTCCTCCTCAGTCCTCCCCCAGTCCCCCTCCTCCTCCTCCTATTCAGTCCTCCTCCTCCTTCTCAGTCCTCCTCAGTCCTCCTCCTCCTGAGTCCTCCTCCTCCTCCTCCTCCTCTTCCCTCTCAGTCATCCTCCTCAGCCATCCTCCTCAGTCCTCCTCCTCAGTCCTCCTCCTCCTGGGTCCTCCTCCTCCTCTTCATCCTCCTCCTCTTCCTCCTCGGTCCTCAGTCCTCCTCCTCCTGGATCCTCCTCCTCATCCTTCTCATCAGTCCTCCTCCTCCCCAGTCCTCTCCCAGTCCCCCTCCTTCTCCTCCTCCTATTCAGTCCTCCTCCTCCTCCTCCTCCTCAGTTCTCTTCAGTCCTCCTTCTCATTTCTCCTAAGTCCTCCTCCTGAGTCCTCCTCCTCTTCCTTCTGAGTCCTCCTGAGTCCTCCTCCTCCTCCCTCTCAGTCATCCTCCTCAGTCATCCTCCTCAGCCATCCTCCCCAGCCATCCTCCTCAGCCATCCTCCTCAGTACTCCTCAGTCCTCCTCCTTCTCAGTCATCGTCAGTCCTCCTCCTCAGTCCTCCTCAGTCCTCCTCCTCCTCCTGGGTCCTCCTCCTCCTCCTCCTCCTCCTCCTCCTGGGTCCTCCTGGGTCTTCCTGATCCTCCCCAGTCCTCTTCCTCCTCCCCTCCTCAGTCCTCCTCCTACTCCTCCTCCTCGTCCTCAGTCCTCCTCATCAGTCCTCAACAGTTCTCCTCCTCCCCAGTCCTCCTCCTCCTCCTGGGGCCTTTTCCTGAGTCCTCCTCCTCCTGGGTCCTCCTCCTCCTTCTCCTCCTCAGTCCTTCTCCTCCTCCTCCTCAGTCCTCTTCCTCCTCTTCCTCCTCCTCCTCCCTCTCAGTCATCCTCCTCAGCCATCCTCCTCAGCCATCCTCCTCAGTCCTCCTCCTTCTCAGTCCTCCTCAGTCCTCCTCCTGAGTCCTCCTCCTCCTGAGTCATCCTCCTCAGTTCTCCTCCTCCTCCTCCTAGGTCCTCCTTCTGGGTCCTCCTCCTCCTGGTCTTTCCTGATCCTTCTCCTCCCTCTCAGTCATCCTCCTCAGTCATCCTCCTCAGCCATCCTCCTCAGCCATCCTTCTCAGCCATCCTCCTCAGTACTCTTCAGTACTCTTCAGTACTCTTCAGTCCTCAAAATGTTTGTCCGCTAATGTCCACCAATGTCCGCTAATGTCCACCAATGTCCATCCAAGTCCGCCAATGTCCATACGGGTCCGCCAATGTCTGTCCGAGTCCGCCAATGTCCGTCCGAGTCCGCCAATGTCCGTCCGAGTCCGCCAATGTCCGTCCGTGTCCGCCAATGTCCCAAAAAACACGTCCGTTGTCTCATAGAATCCAAAAAGGACAGGACATAGGCGGACATAGACGGACATGACACCCCCCCTATAATATATATTGCCCCACCAACAATTATTATTTATCCAATACAATATTTTTTTTTTAATTTTCCAAAACGGAATAAAGATTTATAAATCGCTTCTTCGCCACATAAGGATGAAACCAAAGATTATCGTTATGTTTCTCTTTATTACTAACATAACTGGCTCCCTCAATTCTTATTAAAACTTCATTAGAAACATTCCAAAAAAAGCAATCATCTGTAATACTTTTAGAAATCATATCTTTCTTAAATCCTTCTAATTTAATTTTAAAGCCTAGAACTGTCACAGAGTTCTTGACGTCCGGAGGGAGTTTGTTCCAATCTATTAACTTATTACACATTTGTGCTCTGCTTTAGCATCACTTGACTATTTAAAAAAAATTGTTTGTTCAGGCCATGACCTTATAGGACACTTCAGCCAATTGGCCATTGCTATATTATGTGTATATTGTTTGAATATTCTTTTCTTCTTCGTTTGTTCCAATATGGAATAACTCGCTCTGGGAGAAAAGACTTCTGGATATTCTTGATTTTAGTTAAACTTCTACTACTACATCTGTCGCTTGAAACAAGAATAAGACCGGATCTGCTAATTCTAAACATCCCGATCCATAATCATTCATTCTGTATGTGCACGAAAATTTATTTCAATCAGTCAAACCACTTGTTTCTTTAAAAGCTTCTATGAGGTCTCCACGTAGTCGCCGTGGCCTAGTATCCCAGACAAGCAGTTCTATTCCGTTTTTGAGCTCTTCTGAGCTCATCCCTTCCTGCCTTAATAGGGCTCAATTAAAACTTTCTTTGTTCTTTTCTTTGTTCTTGAAGCAGGAAGCCTCTTTAAACCTCCTCGACCTTACCTTTTGAAATTTCATCTACCTGGTGCAGAAGTATAATCTCACAAGGTAAAATCTAAATCGTCTTTTAAGATGCTCAATGAATTTGTCAGATTATGTCAGATGTTAATCAAAAGATGAAATTTTAATGTAAATTTGCCGGCCTTACGGTTTTGCCCTGATTGTAAGCTTTTCTTCAAAGTCGAGATTCACTTTAATCGTGAAGTGATGAGTCGCCTCTATTTTTCTTGATCATTTCGGGTTTTTAAAATTGACAGCTTTTACCATATATTTTTTGCTCAGAATTATCTCCAGGTTCCTGTCACTTCTAATGTCGGTGCAACTACACCTACATTTTTTATTTAGATTCCTTGACAGTAAGAGACTACACCTAAGTCCTAACTTGTATCGTTATAATTTTGACTACACCTTACTTGTATCGTTATAATTTTGGCCCAGGCACAGGATTAAACCTTTATTTAGTATTTACACTGATGCATGAAATGTTCGGGGTGGTTTCGAATTAAACATCTGTCCCAGCTACCTTCATCTGAAGGGTGTTAATGTTTGTGATATTGTAACGGTCTTAGTTTTACGTTTTAAAGTATTTAAGATATTTCCATTTAATATGTTCTACCTCAGATATGTGTTAAGTTCGATAATAATAATAATAACGATATTATTCTCAGTAGGTCATGGCCAACGACAAGAAAAGACAAGCTATCTCCCAGGTTGTAACCAGAGAATACACGATTAACCTGCACAAAAGAATCCATGGAATTGGTTTCAAACGCAGGGCACCTCGTGCAGTAAAAGAGATCAAGAAGTTTGCTGAGAAGATGATGGGAACTCCCGATGTCAGAATAGATACTCGTCTCAACAAACACGTCTGGCACAAGGGTGTAAAGAATGTTCCCTTCAGAGTACGAGTAAGGCTCGCAAGGAAGCGTAACGAAGATGAAGACTCAATCCACAAGTTATACACCTTGGTCACAGTCGTTGAAGGAGTGGAAAATTTCAAAGGATTGACAACTCAGAATGTTGATGTCGACGAGTAATATGTAATTTTTTAATTTATTTTAGAAAAAATTGTTTTACTGAACTGTATTCATGAATTGTAAGAAAAGATTGCTAAAAAATCTCATTCTAAATTAACCGATGTGTAAAGCTTTCAAATTTTTCATCCGGCCGAAATCTAAAGATCTGAATTATGTGCGATTAAATCGAAGTAAATGAAACCAACACAGCATAAATTTACAATAATTGTAGGATGTTATATTTGTTGTTATCATGGCTGTTAGTAAGAGGCAGTGACGGAGCACGAGCAATATGGGCACTGAACGCTGGTGGAGGTTCTCACCGAGGAGTGGATGGGGTCATGTATAAACCAGACATTTCTGACATGCCAGGAGTTGCGTCTGATCACGGTGTCACACATGTTCCTCTACTTGCCCGAGTTCATCCTCAGGTATTTAGAACATTCTGAACCATTAAGTCTGAAATTTAGATAATTATCTTAGTTTCAGTCCGCGAGGACTGGCCGAAACGTCTAGGGAAGACAAATTACCGATTTAGAGATCAGGATACTGGTTCAGTCATAAATTATATTTTCTGAAACACGTGACAATGATTCTGGGATTCAATAACTGGGAGCTGATAGGTAATCGTTTTCACGTATCAGTAAAATGATGGTTCACATATCTGATATCCGCCATTATCAAGATTTATAGCTTAATGGTCGAAACTTAGGTCTAGGGAAGCCTATCTTTAGAAAGATACATAGCCTTTCGATTCCTTTTTCAAGCTACTATTCTTAATTAAATTCACAAAAATTTTCGTCTGTCTCAGAAATCTAAAATCTCAGTACTGTACATTCATACATCGGGCTGCATTCTCCATGTTACATCCTTTAATTACTTTCAGGACAGAATATTGTACCAAACAGAGAGGTACTACCATGATAGTTTTGGGTATGATATTCCCATTTCAAAGAATGGCAACTATGTACTCAACCTCAAATTCAGCGAGGTGTACTTCAGATCACCCAACCAGAAGGTATGTAACTTGAGTGTAACTTGTATAATAGTGCGTAGTGTATTAATACACACCACAATATCCTGTTACCACAGATTATCTTACACATTCCTTTCTCCTGAGAAGATCTTAGATCTAAGGGGACCTTTTACAGAAGAAAGTCTTACTTGTTTCCTTGACCCTGGCAATTAGTAAGATTTTCCTTGGTTTTGTTTAAGTTGCACAAATGTTTTGCATACGGCAAGGTAGTAAATGTATCTGCTACCTGGGCATAATATCGAGAAGAAGTGACGTAATCTGTCCCCATCCGATCATCCTGCGAAATTGATGTAAGAAAACAACTGCTCTTACTAACCTTGTAACAGGCCTACATAACATTGTGAGGAGAGGAGGAGAATATTTTGAGAAATTTTGATTGGCAAAGTTTGCGCTTCTATGATGTTTGACAAATCATGCTTGTAAAAAAGTTAAAGCTCATGAAAGCTGCATCCTGTCAAATTTACTGGCAGAAGGCAGAAGGACAGCAATGGTGAACAGTTCGCCTTAGGCAAAACTTTTTTGAGGCACAGTCTCAAGACCGATTCAAATAATGAGGATTTAAATGCATAATATATATATTACCTGCCAGCAGTTCTTGCGAAATAAGTGTGGTTTGAAAAAGGGATGCATATTGCTGTCACTCGGAAAATTTCAAAATTGAAATCTGGCATGGTGAATTGATAAATCGACCGATTTTCGTTTAGGAAATATGCTTACATATTCAATATACAGTAATCAATTTCAAATAGGATGCTAACTGCAAGGAGGGACAACCTGGACAATTTGTTTTAAGGAGGAATGAATTTTAGCACTGAGGAATGCAAATTTGGACTGCAAGTTAGACAGTTAGATAAACAGACAGTCATAGGAGAGTTGGTTCTGGTGTTAGCTTACTAATAGGCAGTGCAGGCAGCAAGTGCCGCTCTTACCATTTAACTTCAACTGAAAATTAAAATCAATGTTGAATCAAGGGGCGTGGGGGAAGGTATTTATCCCCCTCTGACATCTTAGGAGGGATCCCCTTTCCACCGCTTCCTACACCCAATATGCCTATGCCCTGAAGTAAGCAACTCAAATGTGTTGTTTTCAGGTGTTTGATATAAAGATGAACAATCAGCCTGTCATAGTGGGACTAGATATCTTCAACAAGGTACGTAATTTTATTTTTAAAAGCAATTCTATTTTAGACTCTACTCTCTATTAAACCAAAATTTACGCCCCAAGCTTACGTTAGAGCGGCCATTACAGTACATATTTTGGTTTTGGAAGCTCAGGCGTGCACTAGTTTGCGATAAAACCATATATCCAATAACTATATATCAGTAGATGGACAGTGCATTCCCTGGAAATGTTTTAACGTTTCCATCGTAATCAGTTAATCATACTGTTTTCGGCTGTACATAGTCAGTGTTCGCATCATTTGCGTGTACTATTAAGCCATAGTTTTACACTTACGTAATCACTTACGTAATCACTTTTGGGCATATTTTTAACCCTCCCCCCTCAGTAATAAGTTCTATACATAGCTATTGTGTTAAACTTACACTAGCGTAATCATTTAGAAACCCCACCCCTCCCTCTCAGCGTAATATGTGAACCTCACAATTCCTCACATTAAATATTTTGACAGGTTGGTTTCGGTACTGCACACGACGAATATGTGCCCTTCAAAATACACGAAAGTTCCTTACTTATTGGAGACTACAAGCTCGCATTCGACGGTAACCTTCATGTAGAGTTTGTAAAGGTGTGTAAACCGTTTTGAGGCTGCCATTTTGTTAGGTTCATGAATATGAAGCATGTGCCTGCTCTCCATATATAACGATACTGCCACAAAAGGGAAGATCATCTCTCCGGCGAATGTCCTTGAAAATTTTAGTTAAATACCTACAGACTCAGCAGGTGTCCACAATTATGTTACACATATTTTCATTTCAGACTCCATACGATAATCCTAAAGTAAACGCTTTGGTGCTTTACGAGGGAACACTCAATGGTAAGCCATTCATTATTATTGGGAGGGGGGGGGGGGGGGGGGGCTTACCATGGCTGACCATATTAAAGTATATAATCCCCTCCCCTAAATCGGGAAAACCTATATTTTAATATACTTTAATATGAGCTTTAAACCATATGCCCATATTTGGGCATACGCACCAAATTTGAAAGCTTTCGCCCAAAATTCGATCAAATTTCAATATGTTTGAATGAGGCTAACTTTATATAGCTCAATATCTGTTGAATAGTGGATACCAAGTAAAAAGACCTCCACGAACAAAATTGCATATAATATACCGGTTCGGGATACTAGCCAAAATGACTTCATTAAAATTGAAATAACTCCATCAGTTTTCAATATTTTTGCATGAAACTTTTGGAATCGATTAAGAATTGCATTTCAAGCTTATTATGGACAGATTTTTGATCTAGGCCTCTAAAAAGACAGGGATGTGTTAAAGTATATTAAAGTATATCCCCGCCCCTAAATCGGGAAAAACCTACATTTTAATATACTTAAATATGGTCAGCCCCCCCTCCCCCAAATAGTGGATTCTTAACTGTACTCAAACAGCTATAATCTAGCGATAAGGTTTTGAGCTGTTTGAAAAACCTTCCTCGCGATGAGCAGCCTTCTGTGTCCACAGTGTATCTAGTCTAGTCCACAATCCACACATCTGTGTTAATTACAAAGTACAATATGCGTTACAATGTGCTTAATATTGATTACTGGTCTTCGGTCATGTCAATGGGAAGGGTATAATGACAAATAAAACAAAAAGTTTTAATACTTTCAACACTACTATATAACAAATAATTTGAGGACCCCCAGTGGGAACTAATGCCTCGGTAAATGTAACGACCATTACAGGTTGTATGTCAATGTAAATGGTTGTTGCACGATAAATTTATCTTAAAGACATCCTAAGGACTATCAGACATCGGTTTTTAAAGCAGTTTACTCCCATCTATCACCTAAAGATTATCAGACATCACTTATCCTTATCCTCCGGAGTGCTACAAAGGTACTGTAATCATTAACTAAATTTCGAACAGTAGCATCTTTTTGTGATAAACTATGTCTAGAATACCAGTTGGCTCAAGACATTACAATCTGAGATATCGAGGGAATTCTGTTAAATTCCCCAGCAACGGCTCTTGTCCTACTGATAAATGTTCAAATTGTTTAACTCTATTAAGAGAGAATGATAGTCTTCGTCGGCAAATTTCTTTTCTCTATAAACAATTATCAGAAAGTGACAGTGCACTCAAAGTTCCCCTCAGCGATGGTTCACTTATCCCTGTGTTGCCCCAGGTACCTGATCACTGTGAACATTCTATCAATGTTCCCCTCAGTAATAGGTCATCCTCGCATCTTGTTTCTGAGTTAACCCAAGAGCTATCCAAATTAGCAGAAGACAGTGAACATTCAGCAGAAATTATCAATTTGGAAAATCCCAAACACTCTGTAAATGGTGACAATGATGTGACCAACTCTATCAATCCATACCAAGATTTGAGTCGAGGAGTTTTTCAGTTTGTTGACACTGCCAAGTTAGATATAGAAACCCACTATACTCATAAGTTTGAGAATAGGGCAGTTGCATATTACGGGGACTTTCCCTACGCTTACAATGGAGGCTTTCATAACACAAGGCCAGTAGCAGACAATCCATACCTAAAGTCTATTTTAGAACGCTTACGATCACAGTTCCCAAAGTTGAAATTCAATAGTGCTATGATTACCAAGTATAGAAATGGTCAGCAAGGAATTCCCTTTCACTCGGATGACGAGAGGTCAATTTTACCAGGCTCCATGATCTCCACCATCTCTTTAGGGGCTACTAGAGTCCTAAGCTTCAGATCCAAACTTAGAGCTCATATTGCTGACCTCACCCTCTCCCATGGTGACATAATGAATATGACCAGACAATCCCAGACCAGCTTTGAACACAGCCTCATCCAGGACAAGTCTGAAACCATGAGAATAAGCATTACTCTGCGCCTAATTGATGGCAGCGCAACCTTATCTACTCTGTCTGATGTTTCCAGTCAAGTTAAGAACACTGAACCCTCGGTCCCTAAAACTAGATCAATAGAACATTCTGGTAAATCTTTGTGTGTCTACATTAGCTCTAGTATGTTCTCCAAATTAGAGGGAGAAAAGCTATCGTCCAAACATCATGAGGCACATGTATTCAGCTACCCTGGTGCCACAGCCAATGCAATCAATGAACGGTTTCAATCAGATGTAAGAAAAGACACTCTTAATACCAATAATGTGAAAAGCATTGTACTTATGTGTGGTACAAATGACGTGGACTCTATCCTGAACAGCCCTCGCAACATGAGGACTAAACTTCTGTGCCCTGATAGTTTTTCTGGTGATGCTAGAGCTCTTGACTTTACAAACAATTGTATTGAAAAACTTGTACTTTTCCTTCACAAGTGGGCACCTGGAGCTGATATTAAAATTGTTAACTTATTACCTCGGGAGAGTTTCTCCAGAAACAAGGTTATAACTGATATCAATGAGTGTATATCAAATCTGCAAAGAAAATACACCTATGTAAAACTGCTCTCAACCGAGACAAATCGTTTCTTGTTTAGTGATAAGAAAGGCTTTAGAAAATCGTCATTTTTTAGTAGTTATGGAGAGGATAATGTCCATCTCAATGATTATGGCATAGTTAAATTAGCAAGGCACTTGAAGTATCATGCACACCATTAGAATACTGCTGAATACTGACATAACACTCCTACCATCAGTTTTATTTTTACAGTACGACATCCAGACAAATACAACCTGCTTTTATTCTGTTTTTTAGTTTAAACACAACTTTACAACTTTTATTCATTCCATTGTGAATTAATAAGATTCACAAGATGACAAATTTTAATAATGCAGCTGATAGGTTTCACAACCTCTGCATTGGTCATTGTAACATTCAAGGAGGGCTTCTCAATTTAGCTAAAAGTAATGAACTTTCCCAACTTATTAGAGATCATAAATTAGACATACTTTCCCTAAATGAGATGAATCTTAATGATACTATTGACACAGACACCATAAATATTCCTTCCTCCTTCAACCTTATGCGATGCGACAGGCCAAACAGTTCTAGGGGTGGTTGTGGCTTAATGATAAACAAAAAACTAGCTTACACAGAATTAGTTATGGATAGTAAGCTTGATAACATTGAAGCATTATGGGTGAAGCTTAAGAATAGCAAGATCAATGTTTGCTGCTTCTATCGCTCTGGAAATTATTGCAGTGTTGATAACTTTATTGAATACATTCATTTTTGCATGAAAAAATTGAATGGGAAAAAGGTTATCTGGATTGGGGATATAAACATTGACCAGAATAATATCTCATCCACCCAGTACAAAAAATTAGATATGACCTTGAGATGTTACAATTTAGTTCAAACCATTCAAGGGATAACTAGAGTTGCTAAACGTGGAGACAATTTTACCCAGACTACTATTGATGTAATATTCACTAACTGTTATGCAGATTTTGTCCAATCTTCTGTTCTTGATGAACGTATAGGAGATCATCAAGCTATTATGTGTGAGATAGATTGTAAAGTACCTATAGCTCCTAAATTTGAGAAGGTTGAAATTAGAAATCATTGTAAACGTAATGTTAAACAATTCTTAGACTATCTAGATACCTGTTCTGATTACAGTCCACTATTGGAAAGTACAGATGTTGAAGCTATCACTGCTGGCCTTTGTCATCATATTGAACAGGCATATGCAACCTTCTTCCCTTGCAAGACCATAGAAAGGCATGAAAAGTTCATACATAAACCTTCTACTGAACTTTTAAATGCCATTAATCATACACATTTTCTTCTAAAGAAATTCCGTAAAAAGAAGGATAAGAGAGACAATGGAAATTGCAATGAATGTGGTACATGTAGCAAATGTATAAAGTGTAATGAGGCCTGGGATTGCTACAAGATTCAGAGAAATATTAGAAATAAATTAGCTAAAACCTGCAAAAAGGCTAATGTAATCGATGATCTACAAGTTAAAAGTGCCAAGAATGATCTTAAAGGGATATGGAAAACTATCAAACTGGCATCAAATATGACCCCTGGTACAACTAATTGTCAAACTACCAATGAGAATGATCCTGAGCTATTTAACTTTCATTTCGCAAATGTTGGATCAAGATTACAAAATCAGGCCCCCAATATTGAAAGAGTTAGTTTTACTGATTTTTTACCTCCTAGAACTTCTAATATCTCATTTGATAGATTCCAAGAAATAAATGAAACTGATATCCTAATGTATGTCGAAACGCTCAAGAATGACAAGGCCTCATATGACAATGTGCCTCTATTTTTACTTAAGCAAGCTGTACCACACATAGTTGAGCCACTGACCCACATTGTCAATCTGAGCCTTAATACAGGTGTTGTACCAACCCTTTGTAAAAAAGCTAGAGTAACTCCCATCCATAAGGCAGGAATGAAAGATGATCCTAATAATTACAGGCCAATATCCATCCTTCCACTTATAGGAAAACTTATAGAATACTTCGGCAAGCAACTCACTGATTTCATGGAAGAGAACAAACTTTTCATCCGGCATCAATATGGCTTTCGGAAAAATCACTCCACAACTTATCTGATGTACGATCTGATGGACGAAATATATATGAGTAAATCTAAGTCTTATAAACCAGGAATCATCTTTCTTGATCTTAAGAAGGCCTTTGACACAGTGAATCATGAAATATTACTTCAAAAATTGGCATATTATGGAATTGGTGGCATTGCTTTAACCTGGTTTAAGAACTTCTTATCTTGTAGATATCAATGCACTAGGATCAATGGCAATCTAAGCTCATTTTTAGAAGTTCTGAGTGGTGTACCACAAGGAAGCATCATTGGGCCTATATTATTTAGTATCTTCATAAATGACATCATTTATGCCTGTAACCTATCTAAGCCCTTTCTATTTGCAGATGATGGTGCACTATTCTTTGATCAAACCTGCAGAAGCACATTTATAAACATGAAAATAGAACTTATGACAATCTTTAAATGGCTCAGTGTTAATAAATTATCACTCAATGAAAAGAAGACTGAATTCCTATTGTTTGATTCTGTTGACCAACATGATGAAATAACCATTGATTGTAATGAGGTAACTTTCACAATCAAGGAGTGCAAAGAGACAAAATATCTTGGCCTCATTCTAGATAGTAAATTAAACTTCAAAAGCCATGTAGATTATATTATTAGGAAGGTCATGAAGAGAATTGGTGCCATGTATAGAAGTAAAGCACTGCTACCCATTAAATATAGGAAAATGTTTGCCAATGCACTCATGTTGCCACAATTCGATTATTTAGACACGATCTATTGTAGAGCTGGCAAGACAAAACTTGCTGAACTTGACACTCTGTACAAAAAGGTAGCCAAAATAGCTCTCAACGTTCCACAAACAGAGAGCAGCCTTAATGTTTATAGAGACATGAAATGGTTACCACTCCATCTTAGACGACAACTCCATCTGTCAAATTATATGTTTAGAATCATCCATGACAATTGTCCTACAAACTTTATGAACAAATTTAGTTACATATCAGGAGGTAGTAGGAGCGGCGAAAGCTGCAACCTTTATGTCAATAGATCAACATCACATAAAAACTTTCAATACTTGGGGGCAAAATGTTGGAATAATGTTCCAACAGATCTACGAAATCTGCCCGATGTTAAAAGCTTTAGTGATTCGTATAAGAAACAGCTACTATCATCTATAACAACAGACCCTAATTATACCGTCGACAATTCATATGAAAAATTTTACACTGCAATCATAGTCGACGATAACTAATTAACTTCTAATTCTTTTAAATCTGAGGCATATATAATTGATGTATCGAAAAGATATTCCCTTTTTTACCACCTTACCATTCTGATTGATTTTGCACATGACTGACACGTTTTAACTGGAGAAGGGGTTCCCACAGTGGTAGTTTTATAAACCACTTTTAATTTATTGACCTATTATACTTAGTGGTAGTTTTATAGACCACATTTAATTTATTAACTTATCATACTTAGTACTTATTTTTGGTGACTGTATCACCCAGTTTTAACATTTGATAATTGTACAGTTTATTGACGACACATTGACTGAATGTTATTTTATATTCTAATTTATATTCTAGATATTTTATTTATTTTACAACAGACGACAACTTCCTGTTTTTTCTTCTATATTAGTTACTCATATCTCTTGTACAGACTTTTTTACAAGGACATTGACAAATGATACTCACATTAGGCATTCATTATTGCATCTAAATTATTTCACTTGCATTAGGCTTAGAATTTGTTCTCTGGTCAACAGATTTCAAATGTTTAATTAATTTGTAGTATGACAGTAAGGTATATAAGAAGTTATTTAATTTTGCTTGGGCTATTATATTGACTAGGTATTGTGGTTTAATGATGATATGGAATTTGAATTCTATATAAATTTACACTATGTGGTTGGGGCATTTTGCATAGTAAATATGGTTACTACTCATATATATCATATTATTTGATTGGTATTCGATTTCTGATTATTTCTTAGGAATATGATTATTATATCTCAATTTGGCTTTAGGTAGGGTGCCCCGCTAAAAGAACTGGATTCTTTCAGGAAGCATCCCGTGCACAGACCTTGGTCTACATATATATTAAATTATTAACCATTCATTCTGTATGTGCACGAAAATTTATTTCAATCAAAAAAAATAAATACCGTCCGAACAAATTTGTAGGACATATCGTTTCTGGGGAAAAATTGTTAGAAAATATGTCATTTCTGTAGCGCGCGTTGCAAAACTAAAACGCAAAGCCCGCGCGAGACACCAAATATCGCGATTTTCTCAAAGTTTTCGTGCGCGGCCTTGACGTACACACCTACTAAGCTACGTACGAAATGTTAGAAGTAAGATACACAGGACAAAGTGTAGCTGGGTTTTAAATGGCGGTATTATATTTGGGCATATTTGTCTTCAATGTTAAGCTCTCTTAGAAAATGTGCTTGAAAATAATATCGACATCAGCCATTCTGATCACAACTTTCTCTCAGATGTTCCTAGACTACCCGCCATTCAAAACGAAGACGAAGATATCGTCCAAGAAGATATTATCCAAGAAGATCCAGCCAAACCTGATATGCACAAAGAACGCCGAGCACCAGAACCTGCCCAACAAAAGAAAGTTTCCAGACCTAAGAAAGCCAACCCATATGACGATCAAAGCGCCCAGTATTGGCCCATCATCATCAGTATCGGCGTATTCTTACCTACTGTCATTCTACTCTGTAAGTCCATGTGAAATTTCCTGAAATATATCACAATATCACATAAACTAAGATTTAAGAAGCATTAAGAAGCATGATGGGGGGGCTTGTTTTTATATGGTTTTTATTTAATTAATATTATTTCCCTTGACCGAGTGACTATATTGTATTGGGAAAGTTTTCTCTCCCCTGTCCCAAATACCCTGATATCACAAAGCACGGAGTTAAGCTGGTATACTACATACTATAATTAAAGTTTTTAAGCGCCTTTGGTTTTGCCATTACAACATCTGGGCTCAAGGCAGTATAATAATATCATTGTCTCAAGTGTTATACCCGAGTTATAGTGTGTTTAACCCCCCATATGCGCACCAATTTGCTATTAGAGTGGCTCCCAATGTCGCGCTAGGTTAAGACTAAAACTGAAATTGTTATTGTTATGGCGTTTAATCTATTTGCTTTGAATTTGAAATTTTAAAATTACGCTATAATAAAATGGGAAGGTTTTTCTCATCATTGATTATATATTTGAACTATTTTGATGGATGAAATTTTCAGATACTCGTCAGAAAGCTAGTTAAGGCTGGCCCAGGGATTACTATAAACTGGACGTAGTTATTTTTTTGTATTTAATAACAGTTGAAGTTTAATGCTAGTTTCTGCTTTATTTGTTTTGTTTGATAATATACGTGTTGTGATTATGAACGTATTGAGTTTTCTTGTTTTGTTAAAATTCTGATTCTTGTCGTCAACATTTTATATAGATATTGGAATGTTATATTTATGATAAGTTTACCCAGTTTTAATGTGGGTATAAACTGCGGGAAATGATTAAATCATCTAATATTTTTATCAGTTAAGCTGTGTTCAACCTCTTAGGGATCGTTCGCAATTAGTACGTAAGAACTGTGTGTAATAGTGTAACTGATTGCCTGTTATGCAGTACATTGGGTTTGTTAGGATATTCTTTGATCGTTTAATCAGTGATATATATGCAATTTTTGATCGGTACAGTTAAAACTAGCTATTTATTTTATTATCCAATAGGGCAATCGTATATTTGTTTAAGAATAATTTTTAATGCTTATATAGATACAAACAACTGAATGATCGTTTCCTGAATATGTCCGATATGCTCCAATATTACAGAATATTTGTAGGCTGTAGGTCGCCTTGGAATTGAAATTTGAGTCGTCGACGTTTGCATACTAGTGCACTAACTTTTTCCCTTAAAAACAAAAAATCGTATCATATTACTAAAACTATAATAACTAGACCCGGGCCTGCATTAAACAATTTCTTGCAATTGACCAAGGAAAGCAATCTTATGGAAGTGATCAATTTTTCAGCTTCAATTAATACCTGTAGTTTGTAGTATTTCGATCTACCAACATGTTTGTGTCTATAAGCAAAATCAAATGTTTTATCTCAAGCCGCCGGCCGGTCATTTAAGAGAAGATTAGAATCATGTCAATTGTACTTTTGTAGTTGTATAGATGGAAATAATACTGACTTTACTTTGTTCGTTCAATAAAATGTAATAGTGATATATCCAATGTCATAGTCAAACCGTTTTATATGAACATAATTGCAATGCAATGGACACAATACAATGTAACGAGAAGATTCGACAGAAAATTTTCATTGCATTGTATGTACGTGCATTGTATGTACGTTGGAATGCCAGTGCATTGCTGCTATGTTTATACAGTTGAAGATAATGTGTATTTTGATTCTTGGCGGAACTGATTTGGTACTATATTGCATCCAATTATGATTGAGATTCGTTTGTTTCTTCTGTTGTTCAATTATTTAATGAAACTTTAAATTCAAAAGAGTCTTTCACTATCTTCACTTGCTCCTGTGTTGTTATGCCCTCTACGAGGCTAATTCGTTATTCCGCATATAACACTTCGTAGAGGATGACAATTGACAAGTCAACTTCGGACCAAGCACACAGAACAACTGGGGCCAACCGTTATAATAGTCTGTAATAAACTCCCATGAGTTGGTCCAGTGGAAGTGGGAAGGGTTTACCTGCCATTTTATTTGTGGAGCCGTACCGTCATTTGAATGCCAAGTTGATTTGGACCTAATAGTCATGGATCTGAGAATATTCCCGTAGAAAAGTCTTCGCCCCGAGGTTTGAGACCTGGAACGGCTCAATACAAGGGACCCCTCAGAAACAAATTTGGCTTTGGTAGACTTTCTGAATATGGGGCAGGCTTTGCAAAATTGACCACGCCCTTTTTTAGCGACTTTAAAATCAAAATAACTCTGCTTCTAAGTGGAATTAGGAGCTGAACTTGACTTTAAAGTTGTTCATATCTCGGCTTCTGATTGAGTTAGGTGCTCATCCTGGGCACTAAAATGTTCGGAATCATCATATTAACTAGGGTAGAGCACAATTTTAAAGTTCTCGGATGTCAGGTTGTTGAGTTATAGGGGGGGGGGAGGGGGGGTTACCGACGGACATTAATGGCAGTATTTTTTGCTCACATTGCCATTAATGTCCGTTGGTACCCCCCCCCCCCCCCGTTATTAGGGTTTCACTAGCTTTCTTCTCGGAATGCTAGCGCGCCGGGCCAGACCATTCACAATGGTCAACGTGCATCAAATAACACTACTCGCAAGGATCCAATCAAGATATTAGCGCTGCGAGCTACGTCATGCAAAGGATTTGCTTTTTGTACTGTCAATCAAACTTACTCAGCAAACCCTATAATTGGCTGGGCTTACGGGGCAGCACTCAGCCTGCCATCCCGCCGAATCTCTATGATTATGAACATAAATATAATAGCCTGAGGTCCCCAGGTAAGGTTGGGCGTGTTATTAATTGATGATGTCAATTCTTCGTTACCTGGGGACCTCAGGCTATCTCATGTTCATAAACATAAAAAACCGGATAGAGATTCGGCGGAATGACAGGCTGAGCGCTGCCCAGTAAATTATTCGCAGCTCGGCGAGGCCCAGTAGCGCATTGAGAAGCATAATTGAGGGCGCGGCCCAGTAACGCATCTCGCTACAAGGCTTGTTACTAAAGGTGATTGCGTCTTTATTGCATGCGTGGCGCATTCCAGCTTCACGTCGCGTGACACAATTCAGCCAATCAGCAATCATATCAGTTACTGGGCCGCGCTCAGCCTGTCATTCCGCCGAATCTCTATATGAACATAATAGCCTGAGGTCCCCAGATAATCATATCAGAGGACAGGAATCTGCAAAGTTAAAGTTGCGAACCTTTATTTTATTTTTTAATTTTTTATTTGTATTTGGCCCATAAAAATGAAACTTTTCGCGATAACTCAAAATCTAAACTGCCTCAGATTTTCTTCCTGTACTGGGAGGAAACATTATTTTTACTGTCACCAAAATATAACTAGGTCGAACGGAAAAATTAAGTCTCACGCAGGAATTACAAATTAGGTCTCAAGTAGGCGCGGCTTTTAAGCTATTTGTGTATTATATATATATATATATATATGACCTTTATATGATATGCTTTAATATTTAATCTTTCCACAGACACTTGCATTTTGTTGTTTACTTTCACCTCTGCATCTTTTGTTTATATCTTATGATTGAATGAGACTTACTCACAAATTTCCCATCTCAGTATTGATCTATTTTTGTCATGTTTTTAATTTACTTCATAGAACAGTTATTTTAATAAACTTGCTTTCAGAATGAGACATGTAAAGATTACACAATCGATAGCTTAATGTGAATTTTGTGTTTTACTGTTTCACTGAATGTCTCAAATATATATACATCAGTGAATACAGTTACCTGGACTTCCGTGCTGTGAATCTACAATCAGAGAGCAACAGTCAAATCACACTGACTTCTTTAGATTCCGCCAGATCTTCTACCAGTAGAGTGATCCAGAAGTTCATCCTGTCCTTGTCTTATCAGTGTTTTGTCTACGTTCATGTTTGTGCACCAGTCTGTAAACTTTGTTAATACACTCTCCACACTCATCGCAACAAAGTCTCCCCCAAAATATGTACCACAGACCTACTAACACTTCCGATAGGTTTATTGCTGCTTTGTCTAATGCTGGAAGGAAAAACATCCGTATACAACAGCAGTACTTCTACCTTATGAAAAGCAAGCAACAATCAACAATACCAAAAGGTATCTTTGAACAGTGTCAATTTCAGTGTAGTGTCAGAGACCCTGTTTTAGAGAAGTTGACCGCCAGTATGATGATATTCACAGCTAGCAGAATCTTGGATATCTTAATCCTCTACTATCACAACTGGTCAAACAGACTAAGAGAGAACTACTACAAACTGGAAAATGAGTTTAAAACTGCTGTGCCAACAAACCATTTTGAGAGAGGTATGGCTACTGTCCAACACAAGATCCGCCAACAGAAACTGGAATGTGAGAAAACACACGATTCTAAGTTAAATAGAGACAAGGTGAATGGAACAGAGGTATACATCAAAAACAGCTATACTTCATTACCAGAACAACCAGAAGTACCCAGGATATCTCTAACCAAAACGAGAACTCGTAGGCGCAAGGAGAAAAAATCAAAAGTCACTAAACCTAGAAAAAGGAAATCTGTCCATAAACACAGGAGGGATGGGATAAAATCAAGACCACTTAACAGAAACAATGTCAGCCAAGCTGCATTAGACAAAACTGTCATTAATCTCTCGTCCAAAACAGTTACAAATGCTCATAAGTTTGTCTTCCACCTTGGAGAATCATTTGCAGTTACTCCTTCTAAAACGAACAGAGATAAACTGGTAGAAGATGTAAACTCCTGGGCAAACTCACTTAGAATGAGTTTCGTCCTCAGTAGAGTTGTAATCCCCACCCAAAATGTAGAAGAACATGAGAAAACCCTTGACCAGAAGGTAAAGCAAATGGAGAAAGTTCTAGGAATAAAAACCTCAAAGAAGAAGAATTTCTCTAACAGTGGTAATCATGCATTAGAACTGTTCATCAGCAATGTCAAGAAACAGATATCTAATCACCCTAGAAAACCAAAGCCAGCTCCTAGGAATGTAGACAAGGAGACTACAAAAGCAATCCAAGAGCTCAAAAGCTGGGATGATGCTGTAATTCGATTATTTGATAAAGGGACTGGGTTCTTTGTGTTAGACAAATCAGACTACATCAATAGAGTAGAAGCTGCTCTAAAAGATCAGAGCACTTTCAAACAAGTATCGGATCAACAACAACAGATCCACACAACCATCATCACCATTAAAGAGTGGGTTCTGAAATACTCAGCAGATGCTGACTGCCCTGGCATGACCCCAAACTTTATGGAATGGGTAACACCTAGTGAAGAGGAAAATGAACCTGGAGTAAACTACATGAACCTGAAAGCTCACAAACCAGAGAAAAACTACCCTGGGAGACTTATCAGCACTGGATGTAACTCTTACATCAAGAACCTCTCAATATTCACAGCAGAAGAACTAAAGAAGGTAACCCTGCCCCACTGCCTCATGGATTCTAATGATCTACTTATGAAGATGAAAGAACTCAATGAGTCAGGAAGATTGACTGGGAAGACCATCTACCACGTTACATTTGATATTGTAAACATGTTCCCCAGCATTTCAAAGGAGATTGGACTACCAGCCTGTAGAACCTTACTAGACCAAAGAAGTACTAAACTTTTCTCCACAGACTGCGTTATGGAAGCTTTGGAGATAACCCTGGATAACAACATCACTGTTTTCAATGGCAACATGTATGTACAGACAAGTGGAACTGCGATGGGTCCAAATAATGCTTGCCAGTATGCAGACTCAGCTCTCAGCCCCTTGGACAGTAAGATCGTGGAGAGCCAAGAAATCACAACCCCCGAGTTCTATGGCAGATACCGTGACGACATATACATCACTTGGACTGAGTCACTGGAGAAGCTAGACCAGTTCCTACTTTGGCTCAATCAATACCATCCAAACCTCAAGTTTACAATGTCGACACCTTCTACAGAGGGGACTGAATTTCTAGACCTGTTTATTTACTCGAAAAATTGCAAGCTAGAAACTAGGACGTACTGCAAACCTAGTGATGCCCATAGCTATTTACTCCCACAATCCTGCCACCCTACACACATAGCAGAGAATATTCCATATGGAGTAGCACATCGAGTGTTCAAAAACTGTTCAGAGGAAGAAGAGTATTTGAAATGTAAAATTGAATTCAGCGAATATCTAGAAGATAGGAATTACAATAAAGATCTTATCCATAAATCCTTTGAGAAAGTTGAGTTACTTAAACGGGATGATCTGATTTCAAAAAACCTTACAAGCTCTAATAGTAAGAAGAGTGAAAGATGTTTTCCTTTAGTTTGTGATTTTGACCCTAACTTACCTCCAATTGGTAAAATAGTTAACAAGAATAAATTTATCCTTGGCCTAGACCCCCTTTTAAAGTCTGTGATCCAGCCTAGTAAAGTATTTGTTTCATATCGTGGTAATAAAACTATCAAAGAAACTTTAGTTCCGAGTAAACTTTCAGAAGATCGTAAGTATCATGAAGATAGTAATGTTATAGCTTTAAACTCTAACACTGAAAATGTGGCTCTGCCTACTAGTATAGAAGAGGGGGGATGTTATCATTGTAACTCCAGATGTAAAGCCTGTAGAATGTATATTTGTGAATCAAAAACAGCTCAGAGCTACCACTCGGGGTACACTGTTAACATCATTGGACAACTAGACTGCAACACAGTAGGGGTGTGCTATCTAGTAAGGGATAAAGTCTGCAGACGTGCTTCAGTAGGAAGCACAGTTAACAATTTTAAGACCAGATGGCAGAACCACAAATCACATATTAGGAAAGCGGTTAGGAGTTGTGA